TTTCCAAATTGTAATTTAATTATGCCTAGCACTTAGTTGTCATTCCACAATGACTCCATGATCCAGGCAGTAAAATTCACACCCATCGTTAAGGCTTTTCATGCTTGAGGGCCCTGAGGGGGTTGAGAACTAGGGAACCCTTTAGGACCCTCAGTGGATCTGTAAACCACCTCCCACCGTCCTGGAGTGAATGCAGAGTGGGGACCATGTACCTTTCTCTGGTTCCCACTGTTTTTATATAAGGGTAGGTTGGCTGATAGCAAACTAGTGATTTAGTCTAGTTCAAGAAAAGCTTTCCTATGTGAATTCCAAGAGTTTGAAAAAGAAAAGTAAAGAATTATCACTATCATTATATATCACCACTGACTATCTTTATTTGCTTAAACTGGATTAAATCAGTGGTTTGATATTAATCCACCAACTCCTTTTTTTTTCTTAGTTTTTTTCTTTCGCCGAGGCTACAATGTATTGGTGCAATGTTGGCTCACTGCAACCTCCACTTCCCTGATTCAAGCAATTCTCCCGCCTCAGCCTCCCAAGTAGCTGGGATTACAGGCGCCCACCACCACGCCCGGCTAATTTTTGTATTTTTGGTAGAGACAGGGTTTCGCCATGGTGGTCAGGCTGGTCTGGAACTCCTGCCAGACGATCCAGCCACTTCGGCCTCCCAAAGTGCTGGGATTACATGCATGAGCCACTGTGCCCGGCCCCCACCAACTCTGAACACGTCCTTTACTTTACTTATTAGGATATTACTGTCTGTGTGGCATGAAGAAACCCAAAGTGATTAAAACTTACGGATCTATATTTTCTAAGGCCTCCAAATACTTCAGAAATATGACAATTCAGTAGAATGGAAAAACCAATGTTATTTGCACAGTAGGCATGTTTAATACTTTAATTTCCTGTGGGTGGGGTTTCATTGGGAAATGCAATCAACGCCAATCACCTAAAATGGATTCTATGGCCCTAAACCAATCATGGGGCGGCACAGGGAACCAGAAACGGTGCCTGGAGTCCCTCGGCTTCTGTATAAATAGAGCAGTTCAGCTCCCGACCAGGTGGAGAGCTCATCCCAGACGCGAGGAGGTTGGAGGCAGAAGGCAGGAAGGCAGGAAGGCAGTGAGTGTCCAGTGAGGATGCCTATGGGGTTTAGGAGTTGGCGTGCGGGGGAGGGTTGGTTTCAGAAAGATGTGGGTTTATTTTCTCATGCATTTGCTCACAGACATTGTGAAGGCAGCGGGTCTGTATTGTACACCATTATTAACTCTGGTTTATTATGTAACTCTTCTGTAAAATAGGAATGATATTAACTGTTTCATCATGGTTGGGTTACATTTTTGGGACAGGGTCTCGCTCATTGCCCACGCTGGCTTGCAATTCCTGGTCTCAAGCCACTGGCGGACACTTCCCCAGTAGCTGGGTCTACAGGCACATACCAACACACCCGGCTACTTTGCTGTAGAGATGGGTTCTCAGTACGTTGCCCAGGCTGGTCCTAAACTCCTGGGCTCAAGCATGCTCCCAACTCGGTCTTCCAAAGTGTTGGAATTACAGGCATGAGCCACCTTGCTGCGCACACTTTTAACCACTTGTTAAAAAGCGTCACTGGAATTTCCCTTTCCACAGGGTATAAAATCAAGCCATCAATGAATGAGCATCAACCTACTAGGCCAGTGAGAATCTGAGTTAAGTGTCCCTACCTGGGTGTCTTGTGTGCTGTATACTCCCAGAATTGAACACTGACCCCCGTACCTACATTTATTTTCTCCCGTGTCCCGTTGCTTGCTTTAATGCGAAAAGAAATGAGAGCAAATACAAGGTGATTTCTAGGAACATGAAATCAATTTTTTAAGAGACAGGCTCTCACTATGTTGCCCACGCTGTTATCAAACTTCTGGGCTTGAGTGATCCTCCTGCCTTGGCCTTCTGAGCAGCAGCAGGCCGAGGTTTTCCCTGCGGCAAAACCACTTTTAATGCAGATTTTCAGGCTGCCTTTTCTCTCTTATATCTGTATGCTTTTTCAACAAAAAATTAATTTGCTTCTAATTGAAAGCTAAAAATTGTACATATTTGTGGTGTACAGCATGTGCTTTGCAGGACATAAAACTTGTAAAAGGGCTAAATTGAGCTAATATTCATATGCCTTACTTTATGTACAAATCATCTTTGGTCATGAGAATACTTGAAATCTACTCTTTAAGCAATTTCCAAGTGTACAAAACATTGTTATGAGCTGAAGTCACCATGCTGGACAATTGCTCTCCTGAGTTAATTTCTTCAACTGAAACGCGTACCCTTTGACCTACATTTCCCCAGCCCCCACCCCAGCCCTGGTAACCAGCATTCTACTCACTGCTACTGTGAGTCCACTGGGTTTTAATTATTATTTATGTCGTTTACTTGTTTTATTTAATTTTTTTTCATAATTTGAACTTGTATTTTAGATTCAGTGGGTACCTGTGCAGATTTGTTGCAGGAGTGTATTGAGTGATGCTGATGTTTGGGGTGTGACTAAACCCGTCACCCAGGACATGAGGACAGCACCCAATAGGTGGTTTTTCAACCTTCCCTCCCTCTGTCCCTCCCGAGGTTCACTGGTTTGGAGTCCACGTCCTGACTTCCTTTCCTCTGTACATGCCCAGGAAAGGGATTGAGGGATCACGCAGTTGTTCCACGTTTAATGTTTTGGGGAGCTTCTACACGGTCTCCCATATCGGCTGCAGTGATATACATTCTCAGCACAGGGCTCCAAGGTTCCTGTCCTCCGAATCCTCTCCAACACTCACGACATGGGTCTTTTTGGGAACAGCCACTCTAGCCGGCCTGAGGGGTGTCCTGTGGTTTGGATTTGCATGTCCTGAAGATGAGTGATGATGAGCACCTTTTCCTAGACCTGCTGGCCATTCACAGGTCTCCATCTGAGACGCCCACACGGGCGCCTTGCCCCCTTCTAGTGGGTTCTGTGTTTTCTCGCTGTGGAGCAGTTCATGCTTTGCTTAGGAGCCCGTGTGAGATGCGTGGTGTGTAAATATTGTCTCCTCCTCTGGGTTATCTCCCAGCTCTGCCGAAGCTCTCCCTGGCTGTCTGTCTGTTCTGCACTTGCTCAGATTCCTTCCAGGAGGTGTGGGCTTCCTCCAGGCTTCCCATGACCTTTCCCGAGACCCTCCTGTCAAGTCTTTCTGCTTTCTGAAGACTTTCAGAAAACATCCCCCACCTGTGGCTAGGAAAGCAGAGCTGTGTTCTCATAGCTGTTGAACTTGGATAATAATGGATGCCTGGAGAGTATCACATAGTGGTTCTTGCCTAAAGAAACTACAGTTGGAACCACATTTCAAAAAATCTTTTCTTTTTTCTCTCTTTTTTTTTTTTGAGACAGAGTCTCGCTCTTGTTGCCCAGGCTGGAGCACAATGGCATGATTTTGGCTCACTGCAACCTCCGCCTCCTGGATTCAAGTGATTTTCCTGCCTCAGCCTTTCAAGTAGCTGCAATTACAGGCATATGCCACCATACCAAGCTAATTTTTGTATTTTTAGTAGAGATGAGGTTTCACCATGTTGGTCAGGCTGGTCTTGAACTCCTGACCTCAAGTGATCCTCCTGTTTCATCCTCCTAAAGTGTCAGGATTACAGGCATGAGCCACGGCGCCTAGCCTTAAAAATATCGTATTGTCTGATCCCACTTCCTGAAAATTTCATTAAGCACTAGACTTTAAATCTATTTTCTGAAATGAGATTAGGAATAGAGAAATCTTTAGAGACAGAAAGTAGATTAGTGATTGCCAGGGGCTGGGGTGGGTGGGGCAGGGGTGATTACTGATTGGGATGGGGTTTTTTGGGGTGACGAGGTAACTGTGGAAACAGACTTGATGTTTGCACAACACAGTGTGTGCCTTAGTGCCATGAAATTGTGCACTTACGGGAGGTAAAAATGATGAAATTTATGAATGTCCATTTTACCCAAAATAACAACATCTGTGTAGGAGCTTAATTCTCATAGGATTACTTAATGCTCACCCTTCCCTGGAGCAAATAAATGTTCTGAGGCTAACAAGAAAATGTGTTGGGGGAAAATTGTAGGTTATAAGTATTTTTCTCTATCTTTTTGCATAATGATGATTAAGGACTTTGCCTTGAATCTTCTGTGCACAGGAAAACATAAAGAACTGACATGATTGTTGCATCAGATTTTAGGAGCTGCACATAACTGTCCTATTTAATGTACAGTTGGAAACCATATTGTTCCAATTGAAAGGAAAGCGGATTCAACCTTTGCACAATGATTTCCTAGAGATCAGAATCCAGGGGAGAATTCAGATTTTAAGCCAGAACATGTAGTCAGGTATAGACACTGGAAAAACAAGAGAGTGGATTCATTTCCACGGTGCTGAGTCTGATACCGTGGAGAAGCTGCATCCAGGATTGGGATGACGGATTTAGAAGGGAGGGGCTGATGGAGTAGAAACTTAAACTGATTGGGTTCACGCTTTTCTTTGCAGACTTCTGAGTGAACAGTGAATCGATACCTGAGGAAAACCAAAGACCTGTGTACACAGGCCTCAATTAGACACCAGCTACTGGAAGAGCTTGCTAAGAGACTGACTGAAATATTCTCCAGTAGATATGGCTGCAAACTGCACACCCTCATGGGGTCAGGGACAAGCCTGCAACAGTCCTGCGTCAGAGCTGCCACGGTCTGTGGCATCCTCAGAAACTCCACTTGGAAATCATGACCGGGACCCTGAGACTTGTCACATGAACTTCAGGATGTTCAGCTGCCCGGAGCAGTCGGACCCCATCCAGGCTCTGAGGAAACTCACTGAGCTGTGCCATCTGTGGCTGAGGCCCGACCTCCACACCAAAGAGCAGATCCTGGACATGTTGGTGATGGAGCAGTTCATGATCTCCATGCCCCAGGAGCTCCAGGTCTTAGTCATGATGAACGGTGTGCGGAGCTGCAAAGAGCTGGAGGACCTGCTACGGAACAACAGAAGACCCAAGAAATGGGTGAGTAGGACCCTCGTGGTTGGTGCAGGGAAGGAGAGCTGGGCTGGGGGCTGCAGGCTGCAGCTGGACTCGAGAGGACACGAGGGGCTGCTCTAGGTCAGCACTTCCAAGTAGAGGAGAGTTTGCTCATCAGGGACACATGGCAGTGTCTGGAGACAGTTTTTGGTTGTCACAAGCTAAACATTCTCCAATGCTGAGGGCAACCCACCATGACAAATACTCATCCAGCTTCAAATATCAGCTGTGCTGAGATGGCACATCCCTGGTCTAGGAGATGGACAGGCAGAGGGAATACAGGCACCCACACCCTGTGTGAGGCCAATATGAAAGAAAGACGTTGGTGAAATATTACACCTGATGGAACGAAGGGAAGGAGGGATTAGAGTGAACTGAAGGGGGCTCCAGAAGTCCCACCTGAGGCAGGGAAGTGGTTGGCATCAGAGATCCAGGCATCTCTCTCCAGGTCCCCACAGGAGCCCCTAAGTTCCAACACAAGGTGAGCTCCCATTGGCAAATTGAGCTGGATTCACCCACAGTATTTCCCCTTTTCTTCTTTTTGGCTTACAGTCCCTTTCATCCAAAAGACCCATATTTATCTACTTATCTAGAATATTCCAGGCACAGGCAGGTGCTGGAGTCTAGAGAGGAAGAAATTTAGACAGGACTGCTGTGTCCACAGAGCTGACTCTACATCGGGAAGATTTTGAACTTAATTACAGTAAAGTGTGAGCATGATGGCAGGACCCAGGGAATGTGAGAGCTACTTCCAGGTTCTCACAGTGAGTCTGATTGTCTTTTTTCTCTACAGTCTGTGGTCACCTTTCAGGGAAAGGAATATATTGTACAGGACTCAGATGTCCAGATGGCTGAAGCCCCTGCCAGCGTCAGGGATGATCTGAGAGACATGTCCAGCCAGCAGGCCTCCTCTGTGAACAACATGCACCTGGGGGAAGGCCAGGCCAGCCGAGAGCTGCAGACCCTGCCCAGGGTCCCTGCACTGTCCAGGGGGCAGGTGAGTGTGAGGCCCTGGTGTCTGGGCAGAGGTGGGAGAAGGAGCAGGAGGAAATCATGTGGCTGCTGGACTGATTGAGAGATTTGGCACAGGAGAAAATTAGAGCCATTCTCCATGAACATGGTACATCCCAAGACATTGCTGAGCCATCACAGAGAGTGAAGGCTCATCTACTTTTCCCCTCCACTATGGAAGCTGTTAGCATTTAGGGTGGGGGTAAGAAATAGTGTCAGTGAAGTGAGGGAGGCAGTTGGCACAAATGAATGAACTGAAGGTCCCTTCCCCATCACCAGTTTCCTCAAAGACATTTCATGAAATAATTCAGCAAGGAAACCATTTTCTACAGATTGTCTTTTTCTTAATTCTAGGAGTGTTTCTTAACTGGGGTGATTTTCCTTTTCAGTACACATTTGCCATGTGTGGAGATTTTTTTTGTGTCATTGTAGGGGGTGGTGGGGTGTTCACAGCATCTAAAGGGTGGAGGCGGGGTCTCTGCACTGCACAGGAGCATCCCCATCAGGAAGGTGATGTGATACAGCCCCTGTGCCAGTGGTGCCACAGGTCAGGGACCTCGATGTAGAGTCCTGCTCCTTCCAGAGTCAGGGGCAGGGAGACGGTGGCATGGCTGGGAGAAACAGGCTCAGAGAAGCAAAGAGTTGAAAACCACCAGGCACAGGGGCTGATTTAGAATATGGAGGGTACGGATTAGGGACAGACTCAGAAATGAGGTGGTGATGTTGACTTGGGGTGATGGGGTGGCCCAGAGGAAGTCTGCACATGTTTCCACCCTGTGTCATTAGAAAAGTTGGTGCATCCAATCAGGAAGGGACAGACATGTTTGTGCTTCCACCAGTGTAGACCCAGCAGTCATTGCTCTTGGTTTTTCATTGTCAGGGAGAGGACTTCCTGCTACAAAAGAGTGTTGTCATGAAAGGTGACCCAAAGGTTCTGAGACCCAAGCAGAACCTGGAGAAGGATCTGAAGGAAAACGGCAAAGAGAACCCAGGACTCACATCCCCAGAGCCGCAGCTTCCACAGGGTCCCAGTGAGTATGGAGACTTGGATCCACAGGGAGTTAGCCCCTCTCTTCTGGGGTGGGGGTCTGGGCCAGCATTATCATCTCCTGGGGGAGTTGGTGCTCAGCTGCCAAAGCCTCTCCATCCCCCACTCTCCAGAGGCGTGTGGTCCCATGTCTTAGGCTTGAGGTGTAGGGGAAGTTCTCAGCCAACTTCAGAGTTTGGTTGCAATGAGTTTGGTGAATTGAGAATATGCTTTATTAATGGTCCTGTGTGAAATTCCTTCTTCCAGCAGATCTGGTGAGAGCAAAGGATGGGAAGGAACCCCCAAAAAGAGCCTCTGTGGAGAATGTGGTTGCTGACACAGCTTCTGCCTGCACAGTGGAGACAGAAGCTCACAGCGAGGACAGAGGAGACTCTCTGAATCCGAGAGGTCCCAAAAGAAGCAAACCAGACACCACCTCCATTTCCCAAGAAGAGCCTCAAGGAGGAGCCACACCTGTGGGCAACAGAGAATCCTCGGAACCAGCTGGGATGAATCCAGTTCATTCCCCAGGCCCTGCGGATGCAGGCAGTCACCCCGATGGCCAAGAAGCCGTGGCACTGCCGCCCTTTACATGTGACGTGTGCAGTAAAAGCTTTACATGCAATTCCAAGCTAGTCATCCACAAGAGATCACACACAGGAGAGAGACTCTTTCAGTGTAATCTCTGTGGCAAGCGCTTCATGCAGCTC